ACCCATGAACACCCCCAAGTTAAAATCTGAATTAGACAATCGATCGATCTGAGTATAGCAACGCCTAAGGAACACTCAAAAAATTTTTCATAGTTTCGCTTTTCAAGCATACATTTTCAATGAATATCCACGAACACTCAAAAAAAAGGATGAGAACATCCATCGATTGTCTAATTCAGATTTTAACTTGGGGGTATTCATGGGTATGTTCGTGGCTGTTCACATTTTTTAGTAATACCCGATGAAATGTGACTTAAATGAGGCCAAATAATACTTCAGATATCTTAAAAACTAAGCATAATTACCATGTATGACAATAATTTCTTTACTCGTCATCTGTCACTCACGATGTAATAGACCCATTGCGCGATAGAGATGAGAAAAAATATCCGTATTAGTGGATGTAATCAGCGTAGTAAGTCTTTGTTAACTGATGTTAAAAAGAAACCAACTCCTTACCATTACACTATACATGCAGTTATTTTGATTGATCTTCTCAATACACTTTTAACGTCATTTTATCTACTTAACTCCTTCTTTCTCATTTTCACAAAAGGACTTTTGTTCATCAAAACATTAATTCAAATGCGTGACGTTTGATGAGTGATGGCGGGTTAATAATTAATCTTTGTCAAGTGGATGAATGAATAATAGTTTACTTCTACTGTCATGCACATAATTCATCAGTTTCCTGTGTTTTTACCTACCATAAGAGAAGATAAAAAAACGGAAGAATAATTCTGCTTTTTTAAAAAGATAATTAATTTGTAAAGAAGCTAATGTTCTATTGAGTACAATAAAATTCAATGCTGACTTACTAGAAATTTCTTCCATATCTTTCGTTTGTTGACCGTGACTATTTTTGTCCGGTGCAAACTGGCTTTTACTCATATCAGAGATAGGTGGAGGTACATATATCTCATCTACATACCATACCAAATGTACTCACATATATGTGAGTACATTTAGTGAATTTGCATAGAAAATAGACGATGCTGGAGTTAAAAAACACACAACATGCACTTCTTATCGCAACATTGAAAGAAAGAACGAGTCAGGAAACAGTCACACATTTTCTTTCTTGAACAAGTTATTATGGTCAACAAGCTAAGAGAAAAGAAGACACTTATTTCTCATATTAACAACATAAAATGGATTTTTGCGTAGTTCAAAACTGAAAAAAATGCACACACCACTTAACCTTACCAGTTGTAGTATCAAAAATAGAAATTATATTAGAAATCGTTCTCCTTTGTATCATTTTCAAATTTGACACGAGTGATGAAGACACTTTTCTACATTTTATATACTTTTTATTTTTCAGATTCAAACGAACTCTGACAACTTCTGTAGGTAGATATAGTTTAAATGTCAGGCAGAATGCTGCCACACTCAACCTGACAGTTTATGTGAAATACGATTCAACCTGACAAGCAATATGTGAAATACGATAAACATTTGTAGGTCAATAAATCTTAACAAAATATGATCTTTTAAGAAGTTATAGAACCATTTTTACAAACTCATCGTCATTATGGTATATTTTTTCTCTCTACACATTAAACAATTATGTTCAGGATATAATAGACAAAGTAAATATTTCAAAGTGTTCATGACTATAATAACATACTACAACTATATTTCGTACTGCTTTAGGCAATTTTAATAATGAGAGTTACTTACTTCATTTTTTCTTCTTGAAGTTTAACAATTAATACTTCCGGTCTTCTCACCTGATCAAAGGAGAAAAAAACCCATTAAAAATAGTCCAGAAGTATTTTCTCAAATAATCATTATTCTGATTTTTGAAATAATGCATTTATTCTTGATAATTATTAAACAATCAAAACTTGTCGATCTTTATCTATATAGGCAAAATCTTATGACAGATACTTATATTTCTTCGATGCGTATTGTGTCATTATTAAATATGAAAAAGTATCTACGTCAGATTTTACATAAAAACTATTCAAATTCTAAGTATTAACATGTCAAACAGTTAATGCAAAACACAACAACAACAATTATCATCTTAATATGAGACATGTAAAAAATTCATACCCCGTGATTATTTTTTCTTGTTTTTTTTAATAATAATTGAGATCATGTTTTCGGAGTACATTTTTTAGTTCAATGCTAGTTTTAGGTTTAAGCAAAGAAAAAGAAAAGACAATGAAACAAATAATTAAACGAACAGCTAAATTACCAATTGCTTGAAAATAAAATTATTATACTATTGCTGCTCTATCTTTGGAAAGCGGCTTATAAAAATAGAGATTTTTTTTTGTTAAAAGGGCAAAAAGAACCATTGAACTAGAAAATTAGTTCTGACAGTGAAACATGCAGAAAAAATGTGCTCTTCATATATTCATCAAAAAATCCGACGTTCTATAATTAGTGCTGACAAGGGGTAAAAATATCTTTCTATAACATAAGAATAGCCCAGAATACTACATAAAACTATGCCTAACAGTAGTGCTCTAAATTTATAACTGTTACTTAAAAAGTTCTCAGTTATTCAGAAGTTGTTCTAACCTTTTAAGAGAGAACTGATCAAACTCGTGTCAATTAAGGAAACAAAATCAGATTACAGTTGTTCGGTGTATACATGTATTTACTCTCCTTTACTAAATATATATAATTAGTCTTGAGAATGAAAGTTCATACAAAAAAAAGCAAAAAGCATAAAATTAATATAAAAAACTGTATCTATTAACTTCAAAAATCATCAATTGCAAATAATCGTTTTATTAAAAAAAAATAATAAGAAGCTGTCCCTGAGTATATTTATATACAGACTTGTATCTGAGTATATGTAACAGTAGAAAAAAAAATGTCATCGTGTTAAATTGAAACGTTCAAAGAATACATATTTAAGATGTCACATAGGTAAATTGAGGCTGTCCAACGTATTGTTGAGTAGCAGCTATCTGATTTATTGATGGTTGAACATAACTAATAGTGTTCTCTGCTCCTGCCTGCATATAATTTGATGTAGCAGCGGGAAAACCTTGAATTACTTGTGGTGCATTGATAAATTGTGATTGTTGTTGTTGAGTAGGACCGATTACTTGGCGAATAACACGAACACCTTTCGGTTGTATAACACGCTGATAAATAAGGGTGAAATCATCATTAAGTTGTTTAACTTGACGAAGTGAAATGAAAGAGAATTCAGGGGCATACACACCCTCATTTTTTATCTAATTATAGGATCTTACTGACTGACGATCAGAATTTTTACTAGAGCATCCTCTCAAATAAAATGAGTCTACTTTTTTCTTAGACCATGAAACTCACTGTTAAGTGTGTCTTTTTTGAAAAACCCGATTTTCCACTGCGTACCACACAGAACGTTTCGCTGTTTGATCTCAGATTTTTACCACAGATACTAGGCTCCAATGCATCCAAGTCTTTTTCGATTTAGTTCTCCAACGTGTAACGTTAAGGGTAAGAAAATTTCATGGAGAACTAGATCTCTATTTGAGTCTTCCAGAATTCAGTCACTCAATGTGAAGAAACAGTGCTGGAGAGCTAAAAACGCAAAATACCAAGGTGCTTTGGTGCTTAGCATCTGTGGTGAAAATTTGAGGTTAAACGGACAAAATTTCGACAGGACCGGTACGGCACACAATGCAGCTGAGCTGAAGTTCTGAACTAGAACGTCGAAACACACTTGTCACGGTTTTTAGCGCTCTTGACAAAATGTTTATATCTTTGAGAAACATCTTGAAGAGCTGAACGACATCTCATTTACAGAAAACTTTTTAGTCAAGGTTGCCTACTTTAAAGTATGTTGATGTTGTGTCATATGAAAGACAAAAAAGAAATTTGAAAAGTTAAAAATCCGAATTTTTACAGAGTAAATTATCAGATATCAGATATTAAAAATTTCATATTTTCTCAAAAAAAGGTCACGGAGAACTAGGAGTGATCTGAAATTGTAAAGGACACTTCAATTCATTATACACTACGTTTAACTCATTCTTTTGTTTCTTGAGAAATGTATTTTCATTGCTTTTCATTAAAAAGAATTCTTTGTTTCCTGACATTTTCCATATTCGAGTGCCCTCAGTCATTCCTGACCATAAAGAAAGATGATTCAAAAGTAAAACAACTAAAGATGGAACATCTAAAATTATTTTTTCAAAATCTGTTTTAGTTGATTTGTGATGAATCACATAAAATGAGTACATTTTATAGTGAGTTTGCTGTTTTTTGAGATAATTAATTTCAATAGCATTCAGATAAGCCCTAACAGTACATTTATAGTTTACTTCATATATAAACGTAATAACTTTTTCATTTTCAGTGTTGCTTATAGATGAAAGAGGATTTTATGCTGAAAAAATGTTCTTATGGATGTCAACAACTTCTCAACACAATGGGCATAATAGTGAATAAAAAAAGTAATTTTTCTCTGTCATTTAATTTGTTTGGTGTGCTGATTAAGTGCTAAAGCGCTGTATTTCTCTCAGTTAGTCAACTTGAACAAATTTATAATTATCGTGGTATAAACGAAAGACTTTTTTCTTCCTCTACCGAGGCGTTGTTGTTTTTAATAGAGTTTATTAGTATTCTAACTCTCGTTAATTGCTGTTTCAGTTACTTAACTTTCTGAACCCTGTGGAGTACAGTTAATCTCTAGTTTTTCTGACTACTTATTACTACCTGTTGTGCAGCATAAACGGGTACAAATTGTTGTAAAACTTGTGATTGTGGATGAACATAGCTAACGTTTTGTTGCTGTTGCTGAACAGCTGTTGTCATCGTTGTTTGGGGAATACAAATATTGGCCATTTGATGTTGTGGTACTGAGCGAATAACACGTCGTCTAGCAGGATGCTCAACACATCGCTCACGTTGTACAATAACGGGCCGTCGTTGCGGTTGTTGCGGAAGATATTTTTCATAGATGATTGCTGGTGGTTTGGGAGGTGGAGGAGGAAATCTTTCGATTATCACTGAAAATTATAAGAAAGGTATAGATAAACTATAATCTAATTTATCGTTATAGATTTTATAATAAGAAATAAAAAGTACTTATGTTACCTTGTCTAGGCATATTCACAGGAGGAAGTCGCTTTTCAATAATTAAAGGCTGACACATTGGTGGACACATTGGCGGTCTTTCGCTAAAATCATTCATTTTAAAGCAACGTGACCTAACGCTTGAAAAAGTTGAGTACAAAATTCTTTACCGAACGACAATGGGTGGTGGAGTTGGTGGAGATTGAGGTACTTGTCGGCAGATAATTGGTGGTTGTTGCTCAGGAGCTGATTGTACCTCTAGAACAGAAAGATAAAGTGTTTAGACTTCAACAAAGATGCGATACTGCAAAATAAAGAGAAATATGCAAAGAAGTTGCGTAGTTAAATTATTAACCTCGAATAATTATCGGCGCTGGAGGCGGTGGTGTAGGTGGTTGAAGCCAGCGAACCATAATATTTTGTTTATAGACAACTTCTTGGTTATTTGGTCTGTAAATAACTTGTGGTGTGCCAGAAAGTGAAACATCTGGCGGAAATTCATTTTTTTGAATTGGGTAACTTACTCCTGGTGTTACTGATGATGAATCGACCAAATGCGTATCGCTACCAGTCCTCGTACCACCAGTACCCGGATTTATATTCAAACCCGTGAGTTGGTCGATAAGACCTGGTGTTGGTGACTATAAATATATATGAGACGAATATTAACCTTTTACTTTTCTCAAAGATCTTCAAAGTCTAATTTTTGATAGATGATAATGGAAATGTTAGTAATACTGCAAAAGGTGAGAATGAACTTCACCCGAGAAAACTTTTAACGAAAAACATCACCTTGAAAAAAATTCAGTAATAAAATTCTCTGAACAGCCCACAACTAAAGCGACTTCTGAGCAAAAATTTAACACATTGAGAACAAAAGATATATTATAGATTAAATAAAGATACACGCCACGGTTTCTTGTATCTTAAATGATCTAACGAGTATTTTTTCTCTAAGATGAAGGAAAGTAGTCAAAGTTTATTAAACTTTTTTCGAAGCAAAAATTCGTACGCAGTTATTTTTTAGCTGGCCCTTGATTGGTGTGGGAGAAATGCACATTGTTTTAGCCATATGTTCACGAGTTTTTTATTCGAATTAACTTTACGAAGCTAATTAGTATTAAATTTCTTCGATTTGTCGGTATTAATAAAATAAAAACTCTTATCAAAAGTGAATGCGCTGGTGTTATCATCGAAAAAACTTATTGAAAAGTTGTCAGAAGACAACATCTTTTCATAAACAAAACTTCATAATTTATTTCACACTGTATTTAACAGAAAAAGAGGTAACGCATAAGTCGTCTCGACAGAGTGCATATTCATTTTTTGCCGGCTAATTTTTTCCACAATTTTCACATTTCCACAACGTTTTAGTAGTATGCGTTAAGTTTTTTCCGATACTTTTTCGAGTTTTCAGAAAAGATGAAAAGAAGGAAATTTGAAAGGGAAGAATGTAACGGAGAAATTTATTGAAAAGAGAGAAAAAAAGAGAATGAATCGGATCTTCGCGTTTTGGCAATAGCTACAATTTGAACAAGCAAAATGGCTTAAAACACAATTCAAGAGCTGAATGTCAGAAGCTTACATGCATCAGCGTCAAAATATGGGCAATGTTTTAGTCTTGTTACATACATCACGTTGACCATTGTCAGATTTATTACCGCCATTTTAAGTTATTTTTACTGGCACTCCATAAGTTTTGTGCTAAATTTTATTTCTAATCACATCTCTTGAGATTAAAGTACATCGCAATCATAGAAAAAACCGTCCAGGTAGGATGTTAGTCTCATCGGTTGGATACTCACGGTGAATTGATTGGCAAGTGGGTAACAAATCTAATTTTTATGGAGAAAAAATGTGATTATTAGTTCTCATCTGCTAAAAGCACTTTTGATCAACTAAGATGTTTTTTAAGAGTATTTTGTTAAAGTACTGGTCTCATATAGAAGTTCTGATACTTTTTTGCACTTTTTCGCTGATACTTTTTCCCACTTCTCTCTTTAATTCAAAAAGCAGGAATTCAGTTTCAAATCTTAATCAAAGAGCATACTGTGAGGGGTATTATTTTTTTCAACGTGCCAGAAGAAGAAAGAGTGTGTATTGCATACCATGCTTGTTGTTGGAGGTGACAATACAGGTATATCATCGATTCGATTTGACGTAAATGGTGAATTAATTACTTGTACATTTGGATTTTGTAATAATCGTTGTATTAATGCATCGTTATCCGTGTTATACTGTTGACCACCATAGTGAGGGATTGATTGAAAATTATTCGCCCCACCTGTATTGATTGGTGACGATGAAAAAAATTGTCGCTGTTGATTTTGTTGTCTAGGATCACCAGCAAATGATCTGTCCTGAAAAGGTGAAACATTTCGAGATGAAGGATGAAGATGATGATCAAGGCCTGTTTGCTGTTGTCCTTGTGAAGCAAACATTCGTTGTTGTAAACGGTTTTCGAACGAATGAAATGCTCTCATTAATTTCATTACAAGTAAACGAGCATCATCAGCACTTTGTGTTAAAAATGTATAACATAATGCATTATCAAATCCATGAAATATGGCCACAAATATTGGTGGACCAGTAATCAAATATGGGTAACGATTAGCCAGATCAACGTTCTCAAATTCACGTTGAACTAAATTATCTCTACTATTTTCACGATCACCACCGTCATCTCGTTTCATACGTCTCAAAGCGCCGCAATAAGCCAAATGTTCAACAGGTAAATGAATTGAACGTTGTTTTGAATCAACTGGGTAAAAATTAAAAAATTCATCATTTTCGACTGATGCTGATCCGTCTGCACCATAAATATTATCTTCATTTCTAGGTAGTTGTCGACGTAAAATATCTTGAACGAGATCGGTACCATCAGCTGTTGGATAAAATTCTATTGCTTCAGTGCTGATATATTGAACAAGTATCGATGATCGTTCAAGATCATTTAATTTGTGAAATTCCATTATTATTTATTTTACTTTTTAATCACTGACATATTTAAACTATTATTGTTTTATCAAGTTAGTACCTTATTTATGGAACAAAGAAAGAGATGTATCAACAAGAGTTAAAATCATTTTATATTAAAAATATTCCGTAGTTATTTGAACAAGGTTTAAGGAGTTAAACAAGCTAGATAGACGGCGGTTCATATACATAGATAGAGAATTACCTTGTTTGTGCATTTGTATTCTTTTTTTCCCTTGTATGTTTCGATATCGTCGCCGTTGATGATAAATAGACAGTAGTTATTGTAAAAAAAGAGAGAAAAAAATATGTCGCGCTCCAATGATTATGCCCCTACAACAGTGTGACAACTTAAAAAGTAATTATTCTATATCTGCCTCTCTTTTAACAAAAGATATAAAAAAGGTTTATAACATGGTGGTCAGGTTATAATTCAGTTTGATGAATAGATATATAGATAAAGACGACAGAGCATTAACCTCAATTGTTCATACGGAGAAGTTCAACATAACTGATAATTAACATTGTCGTCTGCATTGTTTATTTACGTCTCTTCTTCTTATTAGGACAAAAGACTTTTAAAAGACTGTCAAGACCATGGCTTAGGTTTTGAGAAAGAAAATCCGCTGTTTATCTTACCTCACGTATCATCCAAGTGCATGAAAATAAAAAATAAGTTTGTTCTTTTTGAATAATAACATGTTTTAATATTTTGAATTGATTAGAATTCAAGTGAAAAATCGAAACAATACATCAGCTCTACTCAAGGTATACGATCACAGAAGAAACAATTATCTAATTTTATTTCATTTCTAAAGAAACGAGAACATAATTGAGCTTGAGTGAGATAAAATTCAAGACGATGCGTTTGTTAAGGGGCCTTCTCTCCCTCAGAAACGGTGATTTTCGGTCAAAAAATCGATTTTGAGATACGCAGATGAAAAGATAGCCTAAAGTATCTACTTTCAGAATCTGTATCGCTTTTGGTTACAAAAGTCGTTTTTCGCGGATTTTGAGCAAGTTTTCTAGGAGCCTCGAAAGACCGGGTCTCCAAATAATAGCTTTTTCCTGAATACTTATGCTATTAACATTTTTCTAAACACACAGATTTGTAGAGCAAACTTTTCCGATCAAAGTAAGATCTCATACAACTCTGTATGACCTTGCACCAAAAAGTTACAGACATTTTCCTACAAGTCTTAAAATTGAGTATTTTATACAGCGTTTTCTCTATATAAGAGTTACATCTGAAGTATTTCAAGTACCTAATTTTTCTTAAAAATTTGTCAACCAGAATCGAAAGAATGGTATTTCCGTGATCTTTTAAATTCACAGCCAAATTTGATCGAATTTGAGAAAAACGAATTAGCACTGAAACTGGACAAATTCGTCCAGAAGTCGAATTGAAACCTAGTGTTTCGCTCTCAAAATCCATTGTATGTTCAATAGTATTTGTTTTTGAAACGCGCTTGTCCGTCTCTGGTGTTTTGTACTGATTCAGACTGTTAAGTTTGTAGAGCAGTTCTAAAGTCAGTTGTTTATCCTTAATATCGATGTTAGCTTTTTGAGTGTTTTACAAAGCGATGAGAACAATCCTGTCCGTATTGTCATTTGTAGTAATACGTTCTTTTCTATTTATTCTTCAAGAACATCACAACGACTCGTGACGATTTCTGGTTTTAATTCTAACTGACTTAGTTTTGCCAACAGAACCTGTTGAGACATTTCTATAGCTTTTTCAATTGAACATATTATAACGCTTGTCAGAAGATCGGATGAAGATGATGATGATATAGTCTTTAGTGCTTTATCAATTTTCAAATCATTCACTGGTGTCAGTGCTGTCATTGTGAATGAAAATAGTGCAGCTGGAGATGAAAATCATCTGTTCGGTGGAATCGAAGCTGATAACGAATTACTTTCGCTGGTTCATTTTTTTATTCGGCGTCTATTTCGCACTAATGATTTGTTAGTCGAGCTTTTGTTCTAATCGTTCTAATCGGATAGAAAAGAATTTTCTTTTTATCTCTTCGACCTTTTCTAGTACAAATTGATATGAACCATTAATGAAGTTATTTTGAATTTTTCCGCACAGATTAGTGTTCCGAATTAGTGTTTTTTTAGGAAGACTAGGGAGACGGTCGTGGGTGTTTTGGCTATTTTCGATCTATAATAAGTCCAAATGTATTCAAATGTCATTCAAAGTATATATTTGCAAGCTTCTAGATCGTCGCGATTAATTTCTTGTCGAAATTCGTTGCTAGGTATTTCGGGAAAAAATTTTCTGTGACCTCAACATCTTGGAGGAACAGAGCGAATGATATCCTCTCATATAGAAACTTTTTTGTGACCTCGTTGACTTTTTTCACTCGTATGTATTCCGTTAGAGACAAAGCGATAAAATAAATCAAAACCTTCCACTGATACCAGTTTTTGTATCTTGTTTCGTTTCGAAATGGTACACAAAATAATGTCACACTGTATAGGTGAACTAGTAACTTTTGAGCCACTGTATATATTACTTATGTTTTTCTGTACAAGTTCTAGCTGCTACCGATCTCTTTTGTGATCAAAACTTTCTGTTTTGAAGCATTGTTTTGGTATCTATTTTATTAATTTCCTTACTGTATTTTAAACTATCTGGAAAAAAGAAAAAAATACAGAGAGAGGCTGTATTGATCCGGCTGCTGTCATGATTGAGACCACTTTTTTTTATGATTATTAATTAGATTTAAAAAGTGGTCTCAATTTGGAATGCATATATTCTCTCGTTTCTTGCACAAATAAAATGTGATATCAATTTGGAATAGAGAATTTGTTCTTTTCACATCCTTTGTACACTGTTTATAATTACGAATCACTCTGTAATTGGAAATGATTGGCTACTGTAGACACACATATATTACAATAGAAGGAATACAACAAATAGGACAGTTATATTTTAGGTTCATACTCATCATCATCTTTACAATTAGGATCATTATCTAACACTATATAACGGTAACTTAATGATCATAATGTTGCTTGATAAGCTTCTAAATCTAGGCTTCCATTAAAATAATTCTACCGGTTATTACATCATCTTTTATTGTAGTTGAACACGAACAAGAATTACGAGTACAAACCAATTTTTCAGTTACGTTTTTATTTGAGCGCTTTAAATGATATAAGTAACTTTTATATAATATACCATCTTGGTTTTTTTTTCAGTTTTGATATGAGAAAAATGTAGAGTTGTAGACATAATAGGATTCGTAGAGAAAATCGAATTGAGATATTGTGCATATAGTGCTACTCTTCATTTTTATAGTCTCATCCGATCCAGTAATGTGGTTCTCAGTTCAATTTAGTTTTAAGTATCAGTTCTCAAAAATATTTCAATCAGTTTCTGCATCTACCGTAGCCAATCATTTCCAATTATAGAGTGATTCAAAATTATAAATAGTGTACTAAGTATGTGAAAAGAGCAAACGTTATTTTCAACGTTTTTGTCGTCAATTTTTCCAGTTACATTTTTTCTGTCGCGTCATAATGTCACATTTTTCCTGTTTAAAACCACAGATTTTCAGCGTCATCCCAGGTGAGACACGTCTTGTAAGACCTTGCAAGATCTGATGTTTTCTTGTGAAATCTTGTAATAAGGTCTTACGATATGATCATACAAGATCTTATTATAAGATAATATAAGATCTTATGGAATCTTGTGACTTCTTGTTATAAGATCCCCCAAGATCTGGTTATGAGAAGTGACAAGGTCTTGTAAGACCTTATGACAAGAATTCATATGATCTTGTAAGATCTTACAAAATCTTGTACCAGATATTGTTGACTTTTATATATTTTTTTGTCACAAGACTATATAAGAAGATCATATGAATTCTTGTCATAAGATCGTACAAGATCTCATAAGATCGATGACTCATCTCTACCATATAAATTTTGTGACGTAATACAGTATATATATAACATCGTTCTCTTTGAAAAGCTTCAGACTCTTTTCTCTTTTGAACTTTACACGTCAGTTGAGCATATACGAAGTGCATGGTTAAGAAACGTGGCAAAAGACGGTCCTGTGGCCGCCTAGGGCCAAATGTTAGAAATTATATTAGAAAAAGAAAAATGCAGAGATACAGAGGATTCGACAGGAAATGATCAAGCGTATGATCTTGTAAGATCGTATAAAATCTTGTGACTTCTTATAAGGTCGTATAATTTCTTATACCTTCTTTGTGTAAGATCTTATAAGATCATACAAGATCTTGTACATTTCTATGATATAAGAAAAATCTTATAAGAATCTTGCTACAAGATGTCATATGAAATCTCGTAAGATCTTATAGGAAATTGATAAGAATTGATAAGATCTTTTGAAATCTTATGATTTCTTACTATACGATCACCCAAGATCGTATATGATCTTGTAAGATCTTCCAAGATCTTATTATCTAATCCTTGGACCTGGGATCACAATGCTAGACAGTTTCTAATGATTGGTGATCCCTGCGAAAGCAAAGCGATCTTTCACTTTATAAAAGTCGTTTCCCACTCTGTTTTACACTTCGAAAATAAAGAAAACCACTTTACAGACCACTTCGCTTTTTCAAATTTATGCTTCACTTTTTTCTGATTAGAGCCAATTTCGCCATGATGATTAATCTTACTAGCTTAATCCCTTTTATCACATAGAGGTACAATTGTCTGTATGTCCGATCGTCAAACAAACGAGTTGGTTTATGGTAGTTTTAAGCAAATATTAGAATGTTACATTACTTGATAAACTGCCATTTTCCTTTGTTTCAGGTAAAAACATTTAGCCATGAAAAGCCATTAGCCGTTATCAATAACGACAATTTTTACTTTCTTCTTTATCGTTGTTGTTCTGTGTTCCTTATCTTATGGACTATGTTGAAGAAATTAAAGAAAAGTTGTTCTTTGAAAGTTCTTTTTATCGCTTTTGCTCCGAAGAAGTTCAAGACTGCACCTAGCTGACGCCAAGATCGTCGAAGAAGTCTAAATTTTCATTTTTATGTTTTATTACTGTGAATTTTGGCTTTTTTGTTCGTTTTCTATAAGCTTCCTTAACGTTTATAAACTGTACAGTTAAAGTAAAATGAAAGTTATCTGGCTGCAACCGTCAAATTTTCTTTATGTGACTTCTTTAGAATACGGAACAACTTTTGCATTTCCTCCGAGGAAGATTAAAACTGGATCTAGCTGTCGCCAACACTGTCTGAAAGGACTAAATGATAGCAATGTAAGTTGTTCTTCGAATACAGAAAAAAAGTTGTCTGCTCCGATGAACAGTAACCATTCATTCCGGCTATGCAGTATCTTGTAATATTCACTACCGTTCCGCAAAATGTAACAAAAAAAAATACACCAATCAACAGGAAAAACATACGATCACTGTAAATTTGAAAAAAGAAACGTCCGTGGTTTTTTCACCTACTTTTCTCTGAATCGCATACAAAAGTTCGTTCGATCATTGAGTAAGGTCCGTGAAATATGTAATCACGGGCTTTTCAACCCGGAAGTTGTCACTTAGATCCAGAGCTGTAACCGGTCTAAAGAAAACTCCCCCTAGTTCCCCTCAGGATTAAGTCATAAAATGAATTTTACAATTTTCTAGATATACAATTTTTTAAATAAAATATGTGGAGAGCAAGTTTAAGTTCTATTATCAAAGATAATAGTATTGTTACAAAAAATATGAATGTTATTTTCTTCAATTTGTCAAAATTTTTTCATTTTTTTAATCGAACTTTTTTCAACTCCCTGAAAAGCTCAATGAGAACAGTGAGTGTTACTTGAGAAAAACTTCTCAACTTATCTTATTAATGTTTTGTTAGATAGCAGAGTTAAGGCGGGACCACCATTCAAAGAGAAATATTAGCATTTTGTGTAATATCTAAGGAAGCGAAAAAATTTAAGATTTGCAGATTACCAATCGAGTGGCGGGTGGATGGCTGTTTTTACTCACGAGAGAAACATCGCATATTCATCTTTGGGAAAACTTTCAGAGAAAAGTAGGTGAACAAACCACGGACATTTCTTTTTTCAAATTTATAGTAACATGTAACGGGAAAAATATAATATTACCTTCACCTCATTGGTCTATTTTAACTAATTGCCCATATCTACCAGACGGGGAATGTAGATGATGACTATGTTTTGACGTTGCAAGTTATTGATGACTTGCAGTTAGAGACCTACATGGATTAAAAAAATAACCCGTACCAATGTTCCAAAAATCAGCTCAAACCCAGCATGACTGTAGAATTGTTTAAGTTACAGATCCCTACTAGCGGCGTATCCATAACCCATGATCTGAGAAAACACTCTTTTTTTTAATCAACACCATTTTCAATTCATTGGTGCCGTCGTATATAACATTTGTTTCCACACTTTTACTATCTTAATGTGAATATTTATCAGATGTTATCACTTCAGTCAATAACGCAATGACATCGTATATGGCACTCTGTTTTCCTTTTAGTCATTAAACCTTTCTTTATGCTGTGTTCTATATTTAACAAAATAAATAATATTAATTTCATTAATTATTGTACTACCAACATGAAAACCAACACTAATTTAAAGAATCAACGCTATTGTCGAAAGCATCAAAAAATACGATGGCGGAAAACTATGAAACAATGTTGAGAAGGATAGATAAAAACTAAATCCAGAAAAACAAGAGTTCTATTAACAGATATACATATATTACAACGATATATTCGTATTAATAATAGCAAAATATGTTATATTTCTGTTAAGGGCCTCCCTCGTTCAAAATGTATTTCGACACAAAACGCGGGATTCTGACCAAATTTTCATAGAATGTTAGTCTTACCTAGATTAGATTACGGTAAGCATTTAAGCTTGAACACTTGAGCTTTTTCCAGAGTTCCCTTCAAAGTAGTAGGCAAAAAGTAGATGTTCGTAATCCAAAATTTTTCCTCCATTTCAAGAGCTATAAATATGGAGTTGGTCTTAAAATCTAACCAACACTTTTTTCCAAGACATATCGCCGTCCGATTTTGTTTTTAAGATCAACCCGAGATTAACAGCTCTTCAAATGGAGAAAACATGTAGTCGCATATAACAAAACAAACGGGTCACGCATACCACTAAATGCAACTGAAAACCGACGCTTACCGGCTTGTTAGTTATTCGATTGTTGTTAGTGCCGACGTCAGGTTGGCAAAATTTTGGGAATACAATTTTAGAGTACTCGATTGTAACAGGTGGAATCGTATCGCGATTTATCCAACAATATCTTGAAGGATAGACGACACATTGCCTATCTATACTCATCATACTGTTTAGTAAGTTTGAGTAGCGTGAAATCCCCTTTTCAAATATTAATTATTTAGATATGTTTAAAATTAACCGCGCCTATTGTTACAGTAAGGACCCGGCAGTCTCACTCGACTGCTTTAAATTTTAGCTAAAATAATTTGATCTCAAAAACGAAGAAAATGTGGTTATGGGTAGTCGGCTCTTCTGAAGTTTAAAGCGTATTAATAATCTGTTTCATTTTGTGCTCAAATATTTTCTCATTTGGTCCCATACCAAAAGAGATACCGCGTTTAGAATAAACGCACGGGAAGCTGTTGCAGTCCAACCACAATATAAGGCGTATGCACCGCTCTTATGGTAAATTTCCGATAAACAAGGTACCAGACCAAGTTTCGTATGTCCTGCTTGTTGTTTACTTTTTACAGTATCTACAGGCATTGCAATAGTCCATGCTACCACACCACTAATGCCACCGGCAACAAAAGAAGCCAAAAATTCGTTTTTCGTATGTTTATCAATCGAACGTTTACAGAATTCATAGGTTATCATGTAAATACCATATGTTGGACTATCTCGCCATAGCGTAGCATGAAACCCGACAAAAAGACACCTTGGTCCATCCCGTGCCATTAGATGACGACATAAAACAAACATGTTGGCTACTTGATCTCTACCTAAAATAGAGAAAAGAAAGTAGTGCTCCATCTATTTGTCAAATACTTACAACAAGATAAGCTGAAATGAAAATGATGCCGATACATTCTACGAATGTTGACGGTGTCGACACCATTTTTATTTTAATATTTTGGCTACATACTTGTCGTTTGAAGACGAATTTTTAGTAATTCAAATATGCAAGAAGGAACAGCTTGCACTGCACCACCAATACATCCTGCGATAAAACTGTGAGAGTATGTTGGAAACGCTATATCTCCATTTAAACAACGAATTGATGATCCATATGACCCATAAAATGATGTCTGACTACAAGATTGTACAACAAAATTTGCCAGTACACCTCGGTAGAAACCTGTTATCTTAAGCAAACAAAAATATATACACTCTAGAGACCAAATATTATATAGGATTTCTATAGGAATCTTATAGAAATCTTATAAGAATCTTATGCTTCAGTCGATATGAATGTAAACAGTGCTTATAAGATTCTTATGAACAAAATCAAAAACAAAACCATAAAAAAATTTTTTTGTTTTTTCTTTGTTGCTTGGTGGACGAGGGCAAGGTTTTGAACTTTGAAATTTTTGAACATTTTTTATTAGGTACTATAAGATTATAGGAATTTTATAAGAAAATTATAAAACTAAAATCTTACCGAAATCTTATTCAATTCTTATAAGATTCTTATATTGCGAATTATAAGAATCTTATAATTACAGTATGCATTCTCTCGACCGGAGCATATGAGATTTTCATAAAATTTCTATAAGATTCTTATCTGATTTCCGTACTTTCAGTCGCCTAGGGCATCACGCATGATTTGTTTCTTCAATTTTTCACTTGACATAGGGGAAGACTGATTAGAAAAAATCAGAAGGATGGAACAGACTATCTTGCCTTCAAATTAAGAATGTGGTGAGGGTGATGAAGTGTTCTCTCAGTCTCCTTTTAATGGGCATCATACTTAAAACAACAAAAACTTTAATTACCGAATTGAGTTTTACAACTGATTTTAACGATTGATGAATACTATGACTTGACTGGGCTTGCATGGTGATCTTGAGAGTATCCACCGGATGTGCAACGATCGTACTGGCAACCCCTTCAAAAATAAGAAAGTAGATGACTATGAAATGGAAGATTGTGTCTAAAAGCCAAATTGTTAAAATACAATTGTCTTTTTTTTACACTAATTCATCATGCACTGGGATTCTAGTTTTTTGTGCTAGAGAGAAGATACGTACCAGCAACCAAGCCGGCTACATAATCGTTCATCAACAGATATTGTATATAGCCGAATCAATATCCACTATTCATTATCGTTTATCTACGTTTATCAGTTTGAATTTTTTCCAGAAATTATCATTCTTTTCCTACTTTTAAACTTACAAACAGTTCGTTTATCACACTTTTCAGTGTTTTTATGATAAACAGTAACATGCAGGCAACCTTATCTATACCTTGGGTAAACATACACGTAAGGTTAAGGAATAACTTTTAGTCTTGAATAATTATTTCAACAGAACTCGTTGCAGAAGGCAAAAGTGATACATGCTATTGCTAGGTGAAAATTTGCCGAGATACATTTTGAAGAGTTCACAGATTCATTCTGTTTGAGTGAATCGTCATAAGAAGACAAATAGCAGCCTCTTAAAAATTTTGAGAACAACAAGGTGCAGATCAATTCCTCGTAGATCGTAATTCCTATAGCGGGTAAGAATGAGTCGTCATGTCTATCTAGTAGTGACTCACTGCTGATCATCAGTTCTAAAACTCTAGATTGGATTAGGTTGAGTCGTTATGTCTGTAGTCAACATATCCCTAGTGAATGTACTCAAGTGTGAGTACTCAAAGTCGTACTCGGCTGAAAAATATCCCGAGTTGAGTACTCACATGAGTACTCATATAACTTTTGACAAAATACTCATGAGTATGGTTCATGTGATATTTTCATATAGGGAGTGATCGATCTCAGACAGCCAGAACAGAACTACAAGTCTAGTCATAGACAAGTCCATCTCTGACTATATGCAGAGAGACCAGTGAGGAAATAATAATATAAATATTCTATGTTTCTTCACTAAATTCATACATTAAATGAATATTTTCTCAGTACTCACTGAGTAACAATCAATACTCAAAAATTGTTAGTAGTATTAATATGAGTACTCGTGGACGAATTAAGAGTAAAGTCGTACTCATCGTATGAGCACTTTCACTAGGTTATGTCACTACATCTCTGGGTCGAGTTAACTTTAGTCGTTATATCTATATATACATTTATACTATTGAATTACTCATCACATTTATTCAATATGCTTCTACTTTGATATTCCAGTACTAATGTTTGCTTTCTTTTGCCTCAGTAGATTTTTCTTTTTAGCGAGATTGAAGAGACTTGTTCTTGTACGTATAACTAACTGTTGTCTTATGTACTATCTAAAGCATAGAGGCAGGAATGCCTAGTCGTAATTTTTTGTTTTCTATTTTTGGTATATATATCGCTACCTGTCTTCTTTTTCTTGCATATATCGTTGTTGCAAAACAGAAATTCTAACTATACTTTGTCACTCGAGCAAAAAACAAAATATACAGATTAATCAGTATGGTATAGTAGAGTTTAGTTAGATTCATCGACCATTTTAGACTCTAACGGGTGATGCAAAAGTTTTTTCCATGTGTCATACCTCAGTCCAGAAGCATCGTTCACACTTTCTCTTTTTTGCGTTAGAAAGAGCAGGTTCTGGACTAGGTAATATAAAACAACATACAACAACAGTAACCACTGACAAGTGGGAAACATTATTTCTATAAGACAAACCACTCCATAAACTATTTGTAAAAGCGAAATATTTTCCTCTTTCATCCAAAAGTAAGTTAATATATTCACTTCAAATTACAGTTTTGCAGTCTACATTCAAAACCACAAGAGGAGCATATAAAATGAAAACATTGTGATAGCTTTTGAACTAAAACTCATCCAGTGAAGAAGTGATGTCACTGGTTTGAAATTATTTAACACTCTGATGACTGTAAATAAAAACAGTTTATTTCTGTGAGAGAAAAAGAGTTAGTTGGTATCTCGTACATCAGATGAAGGCTCTTTGAACGTACTATCGAATGATGCAGTTTCGGTAACCGTTTTGTTTTGCACCCGTCAGTACACATACGAAACACAGAAAAATTCAAAAAACTTATTCTTTTTTTCAGATTAAACTTTTCTTTTAGATCATGTACACGAGACTTCTCTCAGTCGGGATCCTCTCTGCGCTTAAAAACTCTCAACAAAAAAAAGAAAGTTGAAAACTAGATTCGAACTCTCGTTCATAATGAAAAAATACCGGACGGTACCGCTGGTTATTGTAAACCGAACGATAACCGCAGTTCAGGGCTGTAACCGGTATCAAAAATGCGATATCGGTACCGGTCACCGGTATACAAACTTCGTATCGGTACCGGTCGGCACCGGCTTGTCTTGATCGTGTTTTGCCTAAATACAAACACTTTTTCTTTGTTTATAGAAATATGTCATAGATGAACTGAATTTACACGGTTTTTCGCCAAATCGTATCATATCGCAAAATACGAGTAATGTCGACCGATTGATTACACTTCATACTAATGCCGATATACCGATCATCGTCATAATTCATGCCGGTATACCGGTCGCCGTTATAATTCATACCGATACCGGTATACCGGTCGGCCTTATGATTCATACCGGTATCAGTTGCACCTCTGCCGCGGTTATCATGCGGTAATTTCGATTTTGCTACTGGTATGGCGGCCGGGGAACTGAACGGTAGAAAATGTTAAATAGCAACAGAAAATCTGAACAACAAACAATCCTCATTTTTAAAGGTGATTTTTACAAGTAGTTATCGACTGGTTTGTCTTTTAAAAATATTATCTGTTTCCCACTAGTCAGTGGTTACTTTTGTTATATATTTTGTAGTCCAGAACAGAGACCGGCACGAGCCGAAAATTCCTGTCCGACCCACCAGCCTGGCAAAGAATACTTGAGGTCAGACCCGACCAGTATTCAAAATTTTATGGTCCGACCCGGCCCAAGGACAAAAAGTGAAGGTCCTAGTCCGGCCCGACCTTGTTCAGTTGTTTACAGTCTCTTGCACCTATAACGCTAATAGGCTTGGTTGACAAAATGCTATAAATGTGCTTCTAACACAACTCTATCATTTAAATTTCCATGGTTTTTTTTTTCAATCTTTGTAT